TTATTTTAAGGGTTTTTTTTTTAATTTTAAATTTTTTGGAAAGGAGAGGTTTAAATTATTGTTTGAAATGATGGGCAGGTGGGTATGACAAAGAAGAGAAAGCAGCTAGGGCTTATGATCTTGCTGCATTGAAGTACTGGGGAACATCCACCACCACAAATTTTCCTGTAATTAACCACTTTCAACCATAGTACTTAATTAAGGTTTTTAAATTTGCATGAATAATTGCCAATTTGAAGCATTAATTTGTGCAGATTAGTAACTATGAGAAGGAAGTGGAGGAAATGAAGCACATGACAAGACAAGAATTTGTGGCTGCCATTAGAAGGTTCTATCTATAAAAGAAAGTGTTAATGAATTGTGTGTTTTCTTAATCTCTTATCTAAGCATAAAGATTGTTAATTTCAGGAAAAGTAGTGGGTTTTCAAGAGGCGCATCAATGTATCGTGGAGTTACAAGGTTGAATGTTTCCCTCTTTTTTCTCCTAATTTTTTTCATGAGAGAAATTAAAGAAGATGATATAAATTATAATTATATACATATGTATGTGTTTGCGTTATATAGGCACCATCAGCATGGAAGATGGCAGGCAAGGATTGGAAGAGTTGCAGGAAACAAAGATCTTTATTTGGGAACTTTCAGTAAGTTGTCAATCCATCGTCTTCATCTCTTTAAATTATTCCTTAAATCTCATCTATTCTCAATTCTTGGGTGTTTTTTCGTCGATTTAATTCCTAATGTTAAAAATTTTTCAATTCATACATCATTTTTATTTCGAATGTCAAAAATCAGCGAAGATAATTAATATACATATGACATAGGAAATTTTCTAATTCCTAATTTCCTACCCAACTTCCAAGCTAGGCAAAAATTTTGACTTTCTTCTCCTGATTAATTCTTCCTTTAAATTTATGTTAACGGTGCTAAACTAAAATGGTATAATATTCATCAACTAAAACTATAAAATTAAAAAGTTCTGAAATCAAAACCTTTTAAATCATAGGAATTAAATACAACTTTATGAACAAAAAGATTACATAGCTTTTGAACCATCTAAATCATCCGTCAAGGTAGTAGGCCGAAGTAGGGAGCAAAAATTAATCTTTGAGATACCTTAATTCCTCTCAAATATAATCCCTGCCCAACTTAGACTTTCGATCAGTTGCATAATATAGTGAATAATTAAAAAAGGTCTATTTTAAACAATAAAAACTAAAGAAAAAAAGAAAAGAAAACTAGAGAGAGATATGTTTATGTCGTTATAATATTATGATATGATATGATGAGTGGCACTGGCATTGGCAGGTACGGAAGAGGAAGCAGCAGAAGCGTACGACATAGCAGCGATAAAATTCCGGGGTCTAAACGCAGTGACGAACTTCGACATGAGCCGTTACGACGTGAAGAGCATTTTGGAGAGCAACAGCCTTCCCATCGGCGGTGGGGCCGCCAAACGCCTCAAAGAAGCCCAGGCAATTGAGTCCTCCAGAAAACGCGACCAAATGATTGCCCTCGCCGCCGGAGCCGGAGCCGGAGCCGGAGCCTCCACCACCTTCCACTACGG